ATAAATCAGTTAAATGTCGAAAAATTAGGTGTCTATTTACTTGTGACCACTCAGTGTATACATAGATACGGCTGTCTCGTCCATTTTCATTCTGCCTGATGATGGCCCGAACAAATGTGGCCGAAACATGTAAGCAATATTCCGTTGTTTTTGCTATAATAAACAATTGTGGTTTAAATGATGTATTACTTTTATTAATTAAATAGAAATATCACAAGAATCACGAGTAAACAAATTAACAGCATTTCGTATCGCGCCCTCTATGAAGATATGCGAAAAAAATATAATATTTACCCAGTAAAAAAGGAGTTACAGGTGGTAAATTGGTAATAGTGGCACACTAGTAAGGCGTGCGGACGAGAGGAAAGGTAGGTATTATTATCATCTTGGATACATTTTAAAAATATCGACTTTGTATTATTATTCAGTTGAATACAAGTTTGAGAATTGAAGGATTTAGTGTTTATTTATTACTGTTTCAATTACGTGTTCCAGGTTTCAAACTGTCATACAAATGACGAGATTATATATTTTAATCCTCATGTGTTAAATTTTTTATTTTTAGGCTTAAACATTTATACTAGTAATGTATTATAGCTATCTCCAGTGGCGTATTTAACTTCGGGCAAAGCACTGACTGGCTCACGAAGGAAATTGCACCGAGTAATTTAAAGTGTTAAAAACGCCTCTAGCTATCTCTGTGTAAAAGTAATAACTACTATAAAGTATAGTATAATTACAAGTTATGCTATAAATAACTTATTTGCTAGGATATATATTAATCACTAAAGTATAGTGCAATTTTTATTAGTAACAGCATTCTAGTATTTCCTTCAGGTTGAAAATATGCAAGATTTTAGAAACTAAAGTCACTTAATCATAAGTTAATCACATAATGTGACACATGTTTAAGGGCAGTGCATAGCTTTTGGTGGGAAAAACACTTAATGTAGTTTAAACTTTAGTGTGCTTAAAAGTTAAATTCGAAATATTTACACACAAGATTTCTACATTGTAAGAGGAGCACGTCTTAATATAAATAAATAAATATATATATGTATATATAAAAGATTGGATATTTTCTCTGGTGAAAACTATATGGCAATCTCATTAAACCATTCATATTTAGTGTGGAAAATGCTTAATGTGCTTAAATTGTCATATAAGGTATATAATAAAAATGTTGAACTTGTGTTGTCCTTCATATATCAATAGACCATGATTGCCTGTGAGGACTTTTACACTATGCAGTTTTAGCTTCCTGTGTTGGTATTAATCAAAATTTTACTTTTCTATAAGATAATGATAATGGCTTAACTCATTTACTGTGGCTGGGGTGTATATTTCCCATTGCACTGGGTTAATATGCTGTAATTCAGTATTGATTTAACCATTATTAAAAGACAATTTTGCATTTATCCTCAAATATATATATCTTCTGTTCAGTAATGAGAAGCAAATTTATCAATTATTAAAAATTTAGCTCCAGAATGTGGAATAGTACAAAGTTGACTGTAGTTATAAAATATGAAAGAGCTACAATTTTGGAGATAAGTGCAAAGTTTTCAAATCACTACTGTCTGTCATATGGGTAAAACGTTTCTTTGGTACTTGATATGGTAGGTGTAGTGTGGTTGACATATTATAATGTGTTCTCCTTTATCTTCACTCATGTTATTAGGATTTATACAAAATACTTTTGTGAAGGTCATTTTTGGGAACTGTACTATCATCAGACTAAAAAAAGTTGCTGTCTTTTAAGTCATCAGTTTATAATTTATCCAACATTCTTTTTTAAAATGTTTTAGTATGATATGAACACTTTGCTGTACAACATGTTTTCACTCAAAGTTCTTTATATGGACCATTAGGTTCAATAATCAATGTGCAAATGAAATCTAAAGGCAAAACAAAGTTTATTTTGAAAATTATCTTTATGCTTTTTACAACAGTGATAATGATTTGGAAATATTTGTATCCTCTACATGTTTTACATGTAGTTTTGACACTTATAATAAGCCATCTGGAAAGTGCTGACATTATCTGCAGGTATCTATATATATATATATATATATATATATATATATTGTTGATGAAATTAACATATGCAGACAACAGAGAACCTGAGTATACTTGTGTTGAGGATCCTTCACACTTTCAGTTACATTGTATATTGTCCAGTTGTTGCATTGTTTTAATGCAGGCTCCAGTCTATGCAGAGTACAACAAACACTTTTCTCATTAGGTGAGACATTGCACTTAGACAAAGTCTTTCCATAAGATGAAACTGTCTGATAATATTTCTGAATCCTTTCACTTTTAACTTCTGATTTTGTTTTCCTCATTTTTATTTATGTCTGAAAATAACAATGTATCCAGGATCTTGGAATTATGCTGTTATGGTACTAGAAGAAAGCTGCAAACAGCAGAGCATGCATAAAGAATAACTTACTTTGGGGAATATTGGCTACAGCAGTTACATTCCAATCTTCTATCTTGAATATCTCTTGTGTATAAATGCAGTTTAAAATTTTCAGAAGACCTGGGACAGTTATTTCTGCAATTGTGTGTTGTGAACGGAGTTAAAAAATGATTATCTTTTCCTCATACACAACTCCTACAGCAAGAAAATAAAACATCTGTGGTGAGTGGAATAAACATCACATAAATTTTTTTTTTTTGCTGCACAGGATGAAAACTGTTTGTAACAAGTTGATAAATGTCATTAGGTAGGCATTTTACTTGATTAATAAGACTTATGTAAAGTTTGGATAAATGACATTACTGTATCCACTATCGTCAAATCTTTAAGCCAATTTGTGGGACAAGAGCTTTTACATTTTTCTAACACATTTTGCCACTTGAGGACAAATACATCAAGAGATAGCAAAGGAGATGATACTGTTGGTTTATGGATTGATATGGATGTAACAGGATGTGATAGGATATTTGTGGTTTCCATGTAAAGAAATCTATTTTTTTCTTCATATTTTTATCTTTTTAATTAGCATTTTGTCATCATTTTCACTGTCATTACACTCAATTATAGTCATACTGTTTTGTGAAGAATTGTAGCCTTTCATAAGTGACGTAAAAGAATCAAGAGTAAAATCAACAGAATAATCATAGTCCATTGGTTTAGGTTTCTTTCTACTGGTATTCATTCTTGATGTGATATGCAGGCACATCATGTTTTCATCTACTTTACTGATATACAAGAATTAAAAAATTTTTTCAGTTATTTAGTTTATGCTGTTTTAGCATAAACAATGTCTAGCAAGTCATTGAGATTGACTAATTCTAGTTACTTTGTTTAAATTTCATTAAAAAAAATGGCAGCGAGAGAACTATGCTACTATGCTATTGAGCACTATTAAACCTCTGTATTCTATTGTATGAGACCAAATTTGTTCCCAGAGTAATTACACTCAATTGAATGTGAGAGTTGCTGAGAATAATTGAACACAGAGAATTTTAAGCATATATGAAAAAGATTCAGGGAGTTGTCTTCCAGTTGTACTTGAACTGACATTCTATAAACATGCACACACACACACACACACACACACACACACACACACACACACACACACACACACACACACACACACAC